AAAGAAAAAAAAAAAAAAAAAAAAAAAAGAAAAAAAGAAAAAAGAAGGGCTTGTGATGTTATCGATGCTGGCCGGGCATCATCACTTTTCTACCGACGAGAAATGGCTTCCGTGTCTTTTTTATAAATATTTCCATGGCTGTTCTAATGTTCTTGGTAACCTCGACCGCATGAATTTAAGCGTATTACTAGATTGGCAATTAGGTCTCATAGTTTTCCTGTTGCAGTCAATAACTCTTCTTTTCTAATAGTTTATTTTCCCACACTCCTCGCCTCTTCCGGTTTCTTGTTTCCCCGCCACTTACGATCTTCAAAATATTAAATGCAACATTAATCGCCATCTTCCGTCTTCCTGAATAATGTTCTTTTATTGTCTTCTCATTTTCTTTCACTCTCCGTAATACTTTGGGTCTTAGTCGCATTATCGCATTATTTGGTGCGAAATTACTAAGAAAAAACAAACAAACAAACAAACAAAAAACGGCGTTCTAAATCATTCATATTTGGTGGCAGTGAGGGGAAGCAGAGTGGGTTTTTTTCCCACTCCATGCTTCGATTGTTTTTAACATTTTCATTGTCACAGTAGTGACTGAATATTTTCCCTAGTCGTCTACATCTGTTGTTATTGGTTTTATAACCACATTATCAGTAAAGAAACAACTAATGTTTTCTTTGTGTCTGCGAGTGACTAGTATTTAGAGAATCTGAAATAGTTTTCAGTCATGTCATTTATTTCACTCTCCTGGCTGTTGATGGAACTTAGATATAATAAAGAAACCAGTAAAAATTGAAATCATTTCTTTATAAGACGACTTGTTTAATACAACTGAAGTCTTGTTTAGACATGTGGATCTGGTTTGAAGAAACTTAAGCAATTTCAAATCCATGTGTTTATAACATCAGCGTTCATATTGATTTATCTATAGAAAGCTTGTCTCGCACACTATTAATATTTTAATGAATTTGATAATTACTGGATAGTACACATATTTGTCCTTGTGAATGACCAAGCTAGGCTTAGTAAATACTTATATTATTTTATAAAGCGCTTCATTGACTTCAGTTTACTTTTTGGTAAGTTAGTTTGTCCGCTTTCTCTTTTCCTGATGAACCAGAGAATATGATTTCCCCTGCATGATTGAACTTACAACTAGACACACTTCATTATATAGGCCGCAAGATCTAAATAACTGAAAAAAAAAAAAACAAAGCAAAAACGAAATCCCAAGAAAAATGTAAAGAGGAAAAATGATACATGATATCTCTTAGCATAGACAGTGGAATAAAAAGTATCGAGCAGAATGAATTAAATAAATGTTTTCGACATTCTTAGTTTATCGAATTCAACAGACACCTGGAGAAGTCTGTTGGATACAAGGGCCGAAACGTTGCGACAATAACAACTGAAATAAAAGCACTAGTACAGATAGATGTTTATATTTCAAGCTCGACTGATATACAAGTACAACACGCACGAAGGCACGTGCATTTGCGTGTGTGTATTTAAACTGGTTTATGTTTTAATATGCGTTTTTTTTTACTATCCATATTGTGTATTCGTAAAGAATCCTACAAAGACGTTTATCTTCCTCTGACTTACGTAGTACAAGACAATAATAAATGTCGAGAGAAATCTATGTAAACGCATTTATATTAGTCGTATACATGTATATATGTGTGTATATGCGTGTCTTTGCATGTGTGTATATGTTTGTCCATGTGTTCGCGCGCACTTGCTCTGCGTTATTGTGACTACGTGTGTGTGTGCGCGTGTGTACGTGCGCGCATTTGGAAGGTTGTCTGTATCGACGTTGGATGCCTCCATGGAGATGAAGGAACGAGAGATGTGGAACAAGTAGTGAAGAGTCAGCCGACAAAACAAGAAAATGGAGAGAGACGGACAATCAGGTTTTACAGCTAGAACAGCAGCAGTAGAATTGAGAATGTCACGAAACGAGCCGACGACATACTCAGACTGGTTGACACAATGAAAAATGATTATATATATATATATATATATATATATATATATATATATATATATATATATAATTTTCACGTATATAAGCATACATATAAACAGTAACTTTTGAAAGATGTACACGTTTTTGCATATTAATAGGAATTATTTTTATAATTTGAAAGATATTTAAACACTTTTATAATAAAAATGTCTTATTAAAGTTTTAAAAGAATAATGTTCAGCATATGTTCTTTCTGTAAGAATATTTATCTCAGATCTTCGGAAGAGTGAGTTGCAGATATTAATAATCTTAAATTAATAATAATAAATAAACTAATATTAATAATATAATACTGTTAACAAATATAATATAATACAAATACAATACTTTTAATAAATTAATAATAAATTAATAATCTTAAATTATTCGTTATGTTTAAATGATTCTGGAAGTGTTGAAAATATTCAGAAAAAAAATCATACAAAATTATTGATAAATTGTGTTGACATATGGAATTATCACACGATTACAAGATTCATTAATTCGAGTTTATTATAACATGCGTTTAGATAATGAAAAGGCTTTTAGTGCCATCCATTATAATTATATATATATATATATATATATATATATATATATATATATATATATATATATATATATATATATATATATGGATTAGGAATAAGTACTGCATGATATCTGTCAATTTCACGCCTCGATTTTCTGACCAAGGCTTAGACTGAAGATCACTTGATGCATGAAACTAACAGTCACCATCCAGTACTGATTCCTGTGTACATACTACTGTCTATTTCTAAAAAATCTCTCTCTCTGCATATATATATATATATATATATATATATATATATATGTGTGTGTGTGTGTGTGTGTGTGTGTGCGTGCGTGTCTGTGTATGTGTGTGCGTGTATGTATGTATGTATGTATGTATGTATGTGCGTGTGTGCGTGATAGGAATAGGAACAAATAGGAAACGTTTATAAAATTAAGATGTTTCGCTTTTATTTATGCTTAATCAGAAAATGAAATATGAATGAAAAGAAAATCCCTTATTTTCTTTATTGTTTAAGCAGACCTCACGTGTATGTATCTTGTCAAGTAGCTTTCGTATGTATAATTCATAATTCTAATTCGTCTATGCAAATTTTTTTTTGATAATATGTGTTCGTTTGTACGTCGAGTGGGCATTATTATTGATGTTGATAAAGGGGATGTTTTGTGTGAGAGTAAAAAGAAGTTAGGTTACACCGATTGTGGTTGTAGGATCTTAGATTCTTTTATTCTAATGGATTTTATAACAGTTGGGGATAAAGGGTGACGTGTCTTTATTGATAGTAATTAATTTATCAAGTTTTCTTCTAAGTATTTTCTATGAAATTAATTATATTCTTTTAAACGTTACTTATTTGTTCCTTATCCTATCATTCTGTCGGATTCTAATCCATATTTGATCCAAATTCGCACACACACACACGCACGCACGCACGCTCGCGCGCGCACACACACAAATACACACACACATGTATATATATATATATATATATATATATATATATTCGCAGAAGTACCTGGTGTTGTCTGTGTTTTTAAATACCTAAAATAAATGCAATCATATGAGTTCCCTTTGCCTCAATTGCCTTAAAAAGATGCTGACAATTTTCCCTTGATTCAGGAATGTCGATTCAATCAGAATTGTTGCAGTTAAGCAATTCCGATAATAGTTACCTTTGAAGAAATTGATAAAAAAAAAATCCGAATAAACAAATTTAGACCCTAAAATCAAATTGTGTTCTTCCAAATTTTTTTCATTTTTAAATGCTTTTTCAAAAATACTGTAGTAATTTGCATAATTATGTAAAATCTTTTAAAACAAAAAATGTTGTCACTGTCAATGGTAGGCTTTCTCCTATTCTGAATTTACTTGCATGTATTCTTTTTTCAGTAACGTTTTCATTATCCATTGTAAGGCTCATAAGCGTACTTTTTTTTTTTGTCAGGAGTTAAAAAGAACACATTTCACTTGTTTTCAACTCTGTAGAAAGAAACGTATAATTGATAATGTGAAAAAAACAATGTGATTCCAAATTAATTTCGACCACAGTGAGACTTTGTACCTAACAGCCGCTTGAATTAATTTCGAATTACACTGTTTTTTCCATGGTCAAGTGTACATTTCTTTTTGTAAGCCGTGATATCGCAGGTAGTGTTTTTTTTATAACGAATATTTCAAAACTCTGAGGATTATACAATAACACAATATATATATATGATTATATAATGAAATTATATATATCTTTGCGACTGCTTGGTCTCACACTGTCCGCTGACCTGAGATGGAATAATTACATTGAATCAATAGCTTCATCCACCGCAAGGAATATATATATATATAATTCTGGAACAAGAGGAAAAATGAAACTCTAGTCATTTGAATGTCAGCTGAATATATAGGTAAGATTTTCGGCTATTCTGAACTCTATCCGCTCACTGGAACACTACTCTACAACTCGCTAAGTTGTAGTCATTTCCTGCTCCAACATTAAGAAATATCGTTATAAAATGTTGATTAAGTAAAGAAATTTACAGTTTTTTTTAGCCAAATTTTGTCTTTCTTCGTTGATTTTTATCTCTACGTAGGGAAACTATAAAAATAAATAAAATGCATATAAGTTCGTATATCCCACTGCTCTCGATAAGTACATGTCTACAAACATCATTATTTTCATCCATCTGAAATCGTTTCTGATATTACGTACGGTTCTGAGGATATTAATTCTTATGGGTAAATCACAAGTAGCTATTTCACTTCTAGACTGTTATTTTTAAATTTGCTTTTGACAGAAAAATAATATTTGCTTCAACCTGAAAATAAATTAATATTTGTGAAATTGTAACAATGTAAAATTTTTAAAAGGACAATTTTTAAAAATATATTTGTAGTAGGCAATTAAATAAAAGCAGAAAAGAAAAAATGTAAATATAGACTAAATAATACAAAGAAAACATTTTATTTTGAATGATTAGATTTTTTTTCTCTCTTTCTCCCTTCACTTTTCTTTCTCTATCTAAACCAGTTCAGAGCTATCTAAAACTGCTCATATCTATCTATCTATCTATCTATCTATCTATCTATCTATCTATCTATCTATCTATCTATCTATCTATCTTACTAATTTCCACTGTGTGGAATTATATTAGTGTAGAAAAGTACTAGCATTAGGAGTATGGCGCTGAAACAGATTTTAAAAGGAAGCGAAAACCAAAAACTAAGCAGGAAACCAGGGATAAATCTCTACACCTGTTTAAAAGATTGGGGAGGTGTGTGAATCGCACAATCGGTGAACTTATCTACTTCTATCTAGCTATCCTAATCTGTTCATATACCTCAGTCTTGGACAAACTGAGATCTATCTATCTATCTATCTATCTATCTATCTATCTATCTATCTATCTATCTATCTATCTATCTATCTATCTATCTATCTAATGACGTTTTATCCAATCAGAGCGATTACAAAAATCAGTGCGACATTTTATCAAGAAATAGTGACCCGCCAAAAAACTAACAGTAAAACATTTGGTATTTTTGGTAGAAATAATTATTTACAAAAATCTGTAAAATCCCATTAAAAATTATTTAATTTAGTAAAAATTCCTTTCTTTTGTTATGGCAAATTCTGACGAAAAATATAAATACTTTTCTATCAAAAGGCATCTGCAACAGAAGTTATTAGATTTTTAACGAATTCTTGAGAAAAAGTCCTAAAATAGAAAAAAATCTAAAAAACAAAACAAAACAAACAAAAAACAAAAAACAGTGAAGTGAAACAAACAAAAACTATTTAATTACAAAATATTACATACTACAATATTATAATATTAATTATTATTAAGTATGGCCGCTCTAAGTTATTGAAAAAATAAAACGTATTATTTTTTGGAAATAATATATTAAGTAGAATTTTATCTTAGATCTTTATTAACAACAAGATAAACACTGTGAAGGAACGAGAAGAATGCGATTATTATTACTACTAATCTCCTATTGCTACTAATATTATAACTCTTGCCAATGCAATTGTCGCTGCGGTTGTCGTAACTGGACTTAGCTAGCTTGTGTTGTTTGAGGCTTAAGTATCATCAGTAAATTGGAAATTTGTCTTTGAAAGAACAACGTTGTAAACTCTAATGCACAGTAGCAGATTCCTCTTGAAGCTTTGTATATGTTGATTAATTCGCAAATTGATAAGTTTAGTCGTCTGGAAAGAGAAAACAAACATATATAAAATATCTATATCTATATATAACTATGATGACTGCCCCCTCTCCCTGCACGAGGGCAAACATCAAACATGCCGCGGGAGATGTAGTGTTTTTTTTTACCTACATCTTCCAAAACCACAATATTGACTGGGCGGTTGTTTATAGTCATCCAAAGTATGCGCGACACTTTATCGACTCTCGGAATCAGTCTTGAGCCAATGGCAAGAACCAGTTAAAATAATTGGAAACTGTACCTTATATGATCCGAATAGTTTGATCGAAAGACATTGGCGGGAACGTTAATACCCAAATAATATCACTATGTTATTACCCTTCCAATGCTTACAAAACCGGGTGATGCCAGATATTATGTCCATGTTCAAACGACACTAATATAATAGCATCATCTACATGCAAAAAAAGGCTAAAAATAATGGAAGCCTTATTAATAAAAACAAACAAACCAACACTTAATAATATTAACTTTGAACATGGACATAATATCTTGACCGTGTTTTGAAAAGTGAAAACATTTCATAAAACATACATACAACAAACTAATTCTTATTTTAACAGTTAAAATATAATCCTTGAAAATGGCTAAATGCATAGCCGAAAGCGCTCGGATAAAAAGAACATTCGGACAATTTTTATATAATTAATCATCCGAAAAAAAAAAAAAAAATTAGATCGCATGAGAAATTCTATAAAAAACTAAATAAAAGCACCTTGTCTGTCGTTTTCAATGAAATGTGAATGAAAGAAGGATTGCTGCCTAAATACACACACACACACACACTCACATATATATATATATGTGTGTGTGCGTGTGTGTATTTAAAATTAGTAAATAGAAATGATAATTTAAACCGTAAGTTATTTTTTGTATAATTTAAATAAACGAATTATTTAATCATTTTTGGGATGCTCTGAAAATTATCTAAGTATAACACTATTTTTATTATTTAATAGATTAATTGATAAGTAGTTACTGTTTGTCTACTTTGAGAAGGCCAGGACATTTTTTTTACTTGATATTATTCCATATCTGACGAAAAAATATGTATGTTTTTTGAAAACTGGATTATTTCCTTTGAGAGCAATTTGGAGCCATAGAAAATATTTTGGTGTCAGTTCACCAATGTAACCTGACCAAAGTAGCGTGACAATTACAAAAAAAAAAAAAAAAAAGGAAAAATGTTTCTGCACCGAAGCGTAGGATGATTCTATCTAAATAGCCAAATGAAGAACTTTTTTTTTTTTGTATATTTTTGAATATTTTATTTTTGAAATAAATCGCGAAAAAGTTGTTCGCCTTCTCGAACAGTAGTGGTCGGATGGTTGATTTTGAAGTGGGTAAGAAAGCTTTTGGTGGTTGATAGAATTGGGTCAATGAAAAAAGAAAGAAAGAAATATGAACGATGGCCGACCTCTCTGCACGGAATGGCATCAAGGAGAAAAAAGAAAACATTTACCTCAACTCACATCCAAAAATGTTTAAAAATAAGTAAAAACAATAATGATTTATTAGGTCATGCAAAAAACAAACGTGTGTACACACGAAGATACACACCTATTTTTTTATGATTATTTAGCTAGATATATACATATGTGCATATATAAATCAAATCCTGCTTCAGTACTACTAGCATCATATTACCCACATATTAAGTTGATAGTATAACTCTATAACATAACTTCTAGAAAAATGTGGCCCACAATGTTATTAGTATGATAACTTTAGTACAATGATCACTGGGGAATAATATTTTGTGTCTGACAACCTGGTGCCATTTTCCGCTTTTTTATCTAGTCCAAGCGAATTGTAATATTTCTGGGGGTGGGAAACAAAAACAACGTGCACACGGTTTCCGTCTGCATATATATATATATATATATATATATATATATATATATATATATATATATATATATATATATATAAGCTCTAAGCTAATATGTAACGATCAAAGTTCATGTGGGTATTTGCTTGAATCCATTAACCTCAATTAGTTATATCAAATTGGTTGTCTCTGCGTGTGAGTGCGCACATATTACATAAATTTGTGACATTGAATAAATACGATATCATATCACAGATTATATATCGCGGCATGTGGCTTCACATTTTGTCCACCTTAGCGGTTCTTATTTAGTATTCAGTTTTAAAAATATGTTTCATTATTCATTTCGATCTAGTCTTTTGTAATCTTTTAAAATACACACATCTTAATAGATTTTATAATTAAATTGATTAGTTAATAAAATAAAGGCATTTTTTGCCTTAAAAGTGGTAACGAGCTTAGCATTTAGGTCAGTTTTACTACAAAGCAGTGTTTTCATTTCAGACATAGTCATTTAAAAAGTTTACTTCCGAAAAAGAAATAAAATAAATTGTTCGATTTATTTTGTTTAATATTTTTATTTATTTATCGTTATCGTGTTTAAAGATCAAACATTCTATTATGAAAAACAAATGAGAAACTTTTATATAAAAATTACTTTTATGAAAAAACAGAATTTTCCATGTTTTAATAAATACAAGAAACAATGTATAGTGGATTGCATCTTTGCCTTGTCTAATTAATCCTTCACTGGTACTCGAACCTGTAACTATTTGATTAATATCATTCATATTATTGCGTTGCTGTGTCGCCAAGCTGGGTATGAAATAAATTGTCATCACAATATTGAAATTTATTGAACTGTTTTAATTACGAAAATCTAGTGATTTTACAGTAAATTCATATCTTTCGACCGTGGATCAACGGGAAAGAACTCGACACGTACAACACCAGTAAAAGCAAGCGCACGTACAGACATACGGGTTGGAATCAGTGTGTAGTATCTGTTCTTTGTCTTAAAAGTATGAAGGAAACTCGGTTTCGAGCATTCCAACCCTGCAGTAGTACTTTCCTCATTGAAAAAAAGAGAGGGTTATGGGGTATCAATGCCAGAGTGAGAGTGGTCGCAGGGGTTGGGTAATTTATGTCTTTGGGCCAGGTGAATGCATATGGGCATACCACATTGAACCGATTTTGTGTCACATCTTACTAACATCAAGCTTGGCGAAATACCAAGTATATACACAAATATATTAGCTGCCAGGGAAAAAGTTTCAAGTGTTTAAGATTATTTATTCAGTCTCGTCTTTTCAAAAATAAATATCCGTGGACTTTATATATATATATACTAACTTAAGTCACACACCAAACGCAGGTATATATATATATATATATATATATATATATATATATATATATATATATATATATATATATATATATATATATATGCATGTATATACACGCACATGGTAACCCAGACATCTCAGAACAAATTCTAATAAAATGAATATATTCAACAGAAAAAATAAAGCGTATATTAAAAAAAAAATGTACATAAGTTCGAGTTAGAAAAATGTCAAAACTGGTATTTTAATAAAACCGCTCTCGGGTTCGAAGACGATTTGGGTACAGTATTGGAAATGACTGCATGCCAAGATCAGGCTGTTCTCGTTCATAATGACCGCCTTCAATGACTCTTTGGTATTGTGGTACCGCTGCTTGGCCTTCACATCCAAAATGCCCCAAATGTAATATTCCATATCTCTTAAAAGAGTTACGAGGTCACATATTAGGAATGACGTTGGCCCTATGTATGGCGTTTGTATATGTATGCGCTACGCGGGCACTTTGATGTATGCAGTGGCCTTGATTCAGGTCTTGAAGCAAGAAGTCGCGTGGCATGACATACGCATCGTTACTAACGACCCCATCACAGAAGATGCGAACTTTGTGTGCATCACCGTGGATACTTTCGTGAGGTCCGCGCAGAATTACCTATCGTGGTCATCTGCAAAAAGTCGCTGTGCCTGCAGCTAGTGCCGTTAACAACACGGCAGCCTTTTCATTTCCTGTGTCAGAGTGAAAGCTGCCATGTTAATAAATATGAAAGAGAAATGAGAATTTCAAGATTTGACATATGCTTATAACAAGAAAATTAATACTTCACAGATTTTAAGACATTTTCTCTGTGATTTTCTGAATAAAACTTACGATATGTAGTCTATATATACAGTTTATATATTATTCGAATTCTTGTGTAGTCATTGCAATTGGATGTATGGCAAGTATATATAAAAGACAAAGATACACCACCAGAAGGAAGCATACTAAAAGAACAAATAGAATTAGCAGATATTTGAAGGAATTTGAACAAGAGATGTGTATCACTTAAATATTCTGAGTACTATACAACTGAGCAGTACTAAATAAGAATTG